AGAATTATCAAGTTACTGATTAATCCTACTGGTATTATGATTGCTACTGTACTAAATTTAATTTGGGAATCAGTAGCTTTTATAATATTAAGTCTTCACATTCAGGAACATGACACATCTTTCAAAGGAGTGTTACATTTTTCTCACATAGGTCTTATTTATTTTCTGTTAAAAGTTACTGATTTGTGTGCACCAAATTTGTGTGACCCTCAGATGTTTCTTTTGTTTCCTTTAGTGACTTCTTGCTGCTAGTGTTGAAGGATATTGTGGCGCAGAACCCAAGTCTTCAGGTTATTCTAATGAGCGCGACTTTAAATGCTGAGCTCTTTTCAGAATATTTCAATTCCTGCCCAGTTATTACTATACCAGGTGATTAAATGCATCATTAAATATGTATCATTCTAATAAGCAATTATAATTATTTTAAAATTCACTTGCAAAATAAAATAATAATTACTTGTACCTCATTCTAGAGGAGAACATGCATAACAAATAAAATCATAACCATATAATGAAATTGGTAAGCAGGTAATATACCCACTTGCTGGGAAATTTCAGTTTTATATATGACTTTTTGGGGGGGAGTTTTTTTTGGTACCGGAGATCGAACTCGGGACCTTGCGCTTTCAAGGCAGGCGCCAGAACCACTGAGCTAAATCCCCGGCCCTTATGTATGACTTTTTTTAAAAGTTTTGGTTAAAGCCAAGTGTGGTGGTACACACCTATGATCTCAGCACTCTGGAGGCTGAGGCAGGAGGATCGCCACGAGTTCGAGGCCAGCCTGTGCTACATAGTGAGTTCAAGGCCAGCCTGAGCTACATGGCAAGACCCTGTCTAAAAAGAAAAAATCAAACAAGCAAATAAAAAATAAAAAAGAAGCTTTGGTAATTTAGGATTTCCATCCACATGTATGTTTCTGTATGACAGGGGTAATCTGTCACTGAGGCAAAGTGTGTATGGGTGTGGCATGTTTATTCATTTCTGGATTGTGGTAAATTACTTAATGTTGGTCCACTGTGGAAAATAAAGTTGGACGGTCTGTGTTTTCTTTCAGTGCTTACAGTCTCATTGTGGAACTAACTTGTCACACTGGGCTTTGGTTTATCCTTCTGTAACGATTACCAAAGGGCCAACTAGAAACGCTGACTGAGCAGTGATAAGTTCTATTTGAAGATGTGTTTTGTTTTGGTTTTTTTGTATTGTTTTGTTTTGTTTCGTTTTTTGGGTGCCGGGGATTGGACTTGGGACCTTTCGCTTGCAGTGCCCTGAGCTAAATCCCTGGCCCGTGAGGATATTAACAATAGACTTAAACAAGAAATTATCTGCTTAATTAATCTAGAATATAAGTGTCAGATATTAAAAGGTCTTCTAGGGGCAAAGGGGGAAGGGTAGGAAAGGTATAACAGATTTGATTTTTTTTTTTTTTTGGTACTGGGGATCGAACTTGGGACTTTGCACTTGTGAGGAAGGTGGCGGAACCACTGAGCTAAATCCCCGGCTCTTGTAACAGATTTTTATAAAACACTTTCATTGTCATTTCTCTACCTACATACTTATCTCCTGCTTACTAACTACAATCTACCCCTTCTAGCTTCTGTCACCAAAAGCTTTTTGGTGGTGCTGGAGACGTAGTGGTAAAGAACTACATACACGAGGCCCCCTGGGTTCAGTCCCCAGCACCATGAAAAAAACTTTTTAAAAAATATTTAAGACTACAAATAGTAATTTATTGTGCCTGTGTTTTAAGAGAATTTTACATATGTTAAACTATTTCAAGGTAATTTAATGAGTATTCTGAGACTTTTTTATTTTATTTTCTTGCTTTTGTAGGTTGTACCTTTCCTGTGGATCAGTTTTTTCTGGAAGATGCAATTGCGGTGACAAGGTAAACAGAATGTTAATTAAGATTCATCAAAATCTTACTATACCTTCAGGATGCCAAAATACTAGTACATGTGTTAGTCTTTCTTCTGATTTTTCTATTTCAGTATTTTGTTTTCCTCTTTCCTTCAACAAACAGACTGCCAGTATTTAAATCCCTCTAATTACTAACAGTAACTCTGGCAAGTAGATTAATCTCTGTGTCTAAGTTTTATCATATGTAAACGAGGATATTAATATTAGCTGCTTTGCAGGGTTATTATGATTTATTGAAGAACTAATCATTGTAAAGTGCTTAAAACTGCCTGCCACATAGGACATGCCTTCTGTCATTGTTGTTGGCGTTTTTGTTTTGTTTTTGTTTTTTGAAACAGAGTCTTGCTATGTATTTCAGGCTGGCCTTGAACTCACTTTGTAGCCCAGGCTGGCCTCGAACTTGCGGCAATCCTCCTGCCTCTGCCTCCTGAGTGTTGGGATTGCAGGTGTGAGCCACCACACCTGGCATGGATGTGCTTTTTAAATGTTAGCTGCTATTATCATCATCATTCTACCCTCAAGAAGATTGTAGTGCAGTCTGGGTAGCAAGGTGTCTCTGTGAGTGATTATAGTACTGAGTAGAAAATGAATATCCATTGTAGACAACCAGAATTCTCTCCTACTCCTTGACCTTAAGAATCCCCAAGAGGTTTTTTTATAAAATGGAGTAGTACTCAGCCATAAAAAAATGAGAAATTAGAGACATTTATAGCTAAATGGATGCACACTGAGGCAATACTCTTAAGTGAAATAAATAGGACACGTGTCAATACCAAATAGTTTCTCTAGTGTGAGAAACTGAAAGTGTAAATAAGGACTAAAAGGTATAATAGATAATGTGAAATAGGAAGAAAAAGG